AGACTGCCAGGACAGCTTGGGGTAGACCGAGGGATTTGGACTCGCTCTTGCAGGCGATAGATAGGTGGAAAGCCATGGAAGTCTTGAAACACGGGCTTGACACAGATGTGCGTTCCCAACACCTCTCTGGCAGCAGCAGGGCGGTGATTTGGGAGCTGGGCAGGAGGCAGAGGGAGAAATTGAGGCACAGAAAGTGGAGGGAGCACTTGTGGAAATTGAAAGCCTGGAGACAGCTGATGGGGTCTGAATTAAAGCAGGAGAAGCAGGGGGAGGGAGGGAGAGAAGGGAGAAAGCTTTGGAAATGGGATCTGGAGAATCTGTCTGCTCCTGAAGGTTGGGGAGGGCAAAGGGGAGTCTGTCTGTCTCGCCTGAGCGTGTGGCTGAGGTGAGTGTGAAGGTGTGGGAAGGTGAGTTTGCAGATGAGAGTAGCCTGGTTGGGGGGACCTGTGAGGGCACACTAGTGTGAAGTTGCCCGGACACGCAGGTGGCATCTAACAGACAGGTGTGGGCTTGGAGGGGGACCTGGGCCGGAAGGAGAGTCCTGGGGGTCACCACGCAGAGGTGGGGCCCCGGAGCATCGGAGGGAGGGGACGGCCAGGCAACGCTAGAACATAGGGAAAGCAGAAGGGAGGAAAGGCCGGGTGGGCATGAGATGAGGCTCACGGAGGGGTCAGTGCCACCTCAGAAGGCATGGAAGGGGACGCTGGGAACAGAGAAGGCAGGATGCACGATGGTCAGCAACGCAGCAGAAAAGCCAAATGGCCCAGAGAGCAGGAAGCGCCTGCCGGACCTAGGCAGGCTTTGTGGGTGGGTGTCTTTAATGGAAAGTGGCTTCAGGGGAACATGGGAACGGAATCCATCCTGGAATGGACTGGTTACCCAGAGGTAGGAAGCAGGCGGAGCTGCAGGGGAGATGGCACCGAGAGGCAGAGGTGGACAGAAGGTGTGGGGAGAGAAGTTCACACTGCAAGTCTGGGGTGCTCAGAGGGTGGGGTTCTGTGACGGAGAGGAGAGGCCGCTGTGCTGGCCGCCTCACGTGGAGAACTGGGACAGGATGGCCTTAAATTGAAGGCCAACTTGGGCAACTCGGGCAAGACCCTCTCTCAAAAAAAAACTTCAGAAAGGTCGGGGGTGTAGCTCAGTGGCAGAGTGTTTGCCTGGCACACTGTGGGTCCTGGATTCAATCCCCAGCACTGCAAAAAACAAACAAAAGTTAGGAGAGAGCTGGGCGTGGGGGAGCGCTCAGGCGGTTAGGAGAGAGCTGGGCGTGGTGGAGCACGCTCAGGAGGCCGTGGTAGGAGGATCACTGCAAGTTCGAGGCCAGCATGGGCTACATAGGGCGCTCAAGGTCAGCCCGACCTGCATAGTGAGACCCTGCCTCAACAACGACAACAAAACAAAACAAAAAAGTGGAAGAAAACTGCCTCCTCTCCATTTAGAGATAAAGACTTAAGGGTAAGTGAGAATATGGGTAAGTTGGGAATGGCCATCAGATGCACTGAGGAAGCCTTACGGTGTTTCATCTGTCTTCAGTTGAGAGACGATGAGCTGTTGGTGATAGGATGAGGGGGGTAGGACAGGCAAGCCCCGGCTTGAGGCTGACGAGAGACTTGGGACGTTGTGCAAATGGCAACCGACCAGGATCCTAGGCCCTGAAGATGGCTGGTGCCATCTACGTGTGTACACCGAGGAGTTGCCGTCACCGGGTCCACCTGGCGCTGGGGTGGAGACAGCCTGGGCCGGGGACGACAGGGGTGGGCTGTGGAGGAGGCGTGGCAGTCGCAATGGAAAGCGGGGGTGTGATGGGCTTGTCCTTGCTATCCAGGCCACACAGAGCTGGACAGGAAGTCTGAGGGGCCAACCGCGAGAGGAGGGAGAGGTGGGGCTGGAACGCTTGTTGCCGAAGAGGCTGTGTTGGGGCTGAGGACACTGGCTGAATTTCCTGACCTGCACCTCGCAGGTCCAAAGCTGTAAGGCCAGACCCAAGAGAGAGAGCAGAGGCCCAGTGCTCCAGGTCCTCCTCACCAGCACCAGTGGCTCCAGTCATGCGAGTTACCGAGGGCGGGGTCAACTGGGAAGTCTCTTCCTGCAGCAGGTGTCAACTGCAGAGGAAAATTATGCAGTCAAGAGAAAAAAGGGCATCGGCCCACAGAGTGTACACGAGTGTCCAATGCGGCGTTATTTGTCGTGTCCCCAAACTGCAAACAAGCCGGACGTCCATCAACGGGTGACTGGGTGCATACGCTGTAAACCCTACGATACCCGACCAGCTGCTACTCGTGAACTGTGGACACATGC